ACCAATCAGAGACAACATTTTTTTAATAAACAACTTAACTCATCAAATATAAAATATTTATCTTACACAACTAAAAAAAAAAATGTGAAAATATTTCGAAATGCTTTTATTTTATTCAATTCAATTCAGTTTATTTATATAGCGCCAAATCACAACAAAGTTGTCTCAAGGCACTTTACAGAAACATTCACATAAAAGCCAATTAGTAAAGTTCTCTATCTAAGGAAGCCAGCAGATTTATTATTTAATTTAAATTTTTTAAGTCTTCAGTGTAATATGGGAGTGGTTTGGGTGGTGAGGCGATGCCCTAGCACCCTCTATTGACCAGACGCCACTGGTTTTTGATCTGTGGGAGGAAACTGGAGTACCTGGAGAAAATACGCTCAAGCACAAAAAGAACATGCAAACTCCACACAGAAAGACCCCAAGTCCAACCGGGGATTGAACCCAGGACCTTCTTGCTGTGAGGCAACAGTGCTAACCACTGAGCCGTTGTGCTGCTAACACAAAGGGGCCTTCCTACTTTGCAGTTTTTCACTTATCGCGGGGCTTTAGGGTACGGATCACCCCCGATAAACGAGGGACTACTGTATCAGGAAGAAAGAAATCCTGATCAGGACATCTCTATTTTTTAGTTTACATTGTTGTTTTTAGCGAGGGTAAATACTTTGAGGAGCTTTTGTCTAACTGCCATAACACACATTTTCACACGATTAACATTATTCCTAATACATATATATTTTTAAACATTCATTCTTCTGTGGGATTTAAAGAGTTAATTATGTCTTATTAACTGCTGGAGTGTTTTTCAGTTAATGATTTTGCCGAAGCCACCTGCGCTCAAAGATCAAAATAAACTTATAGTGACTAGTGAGTCAATTTCATCAAACGTTTTACACTGGATTACAAATTCTTTGTTCCTGTAAGGACAGGAGTGCATTTGTGGTGATGATCTGTAAGACTGACACACTTGTCTCATTTGAATCATTTCTGGTTGTTAAGTGGGTCTGCTTCAGCGTCTCATTTTAATATTCACTGTGGAAATGCAGTGGGAGGAAGAAGACAAGTAGAAGGTTAAAGGTTAAAGGTTAAAGTGAAACCAAACAGGAAGAGAGTAGTATGGGAGATAATAAAGCTCATCTTCTTTTGGCTTCATGCAGAAGACAGCACAAGATGAGTCAAGTTTAAAGCAATTAATTAAAATGGACCTAAAATATTTCAAAGGGTTAAAAATGCACAGCACGTATCAGTTGATTAATTAAATGATGAGTTAACAAATTAAAAACTACACGTTCAGTCTGTTTCAGGATGTGATGGCAGTAGCAGCAGCAGTGAGAGAAAAATGCTTCCTTTTCCCAGTTATTTCCTCCAGTTCCTCCTGGGAGAAGCCCAGCTGGTCCAATGACAGTTGGGAGATCAAATCCCTGAAGCAAATTCTGGGTCAGATTGGAGACCTCTGCTCAGAAACACAGAACCCACTAATATGACTTGTACACCCAACATTAGGAGCTGGTGGAGTTAAAAACTTGCCTGTATTAAGATCTAAATGAATCCTTTAGATATTTTTTGTAAGTTGTGCTGTTTGATTAGCTTTGATTAGTTAATATCTCGTTTGATTAGCTTTGATTAGTTAATATCTCGTTTGATTAGCTTTGATTAGTTAATATCTCGTTTGATTAGCTTTGATTAGTTAATATCTCACGTATAGCGGACAGGTATTAGACACTTGTCAGGTTGGACATTCAGGTGAAAATTCTCAGGAGTGAGCCAATACACTACAGATCAAACCAGAAACCAAATTTTCTCCAATTAAACTACAAACACACATAAATTTACCGGAGGTTTAAGCTAACACAATCATTTATTTATTCTTTTAAAATAAATCCTCTAGCTGAGAGGTGTTGCAGGCGGAGTGGGTTGCATCCCTGGTTGTTGTGGCAAAAGCTTGGATGTGGGAGGAGTTGGGTGAGGCCTTGGATAGAGACTCTCAACTGGCTCAAAGAAGATTTGAAACCATCAGAGCTGAAGCAGGGAAAGCTGCATTTTACCAACACTATGTAAAGTGGAGGTGGGGTGCTGGTGACCTCAACCAGTACTGCTGTTGCACAGAGGAAGGACCTTCTCAATCCCACCTTTCATGGAGGAGCTTGGGGTGGTGGTGTTGGTCTGTCCATAACAGGGCTGAGGTCACTGAGGCAGCAGGACTCCAGGGGTGGATGAGATTCACACGTTTGAAACATCACGTGGACATCAGGGGCAGTGCCACTGGGTTGGTAGACTGGGGTGATGGGTCCCCTCTTCAAAGCAGGGGACTGGGGGGGGGTGCTCCAATTATAGGGGCATCCTCTCCTTCGTCTCCCTGTCAGGTCTATTCAGGGGTACTGGAGAAGAGAATCCAGTCGATGGTCAAACCTCAGATTCAGAAAGAACTATGTGGGTTCCAACCCAGCCATGGAACATTGGACCAGCTCTTTACCCTCACTAGGGTCCTCGAGGGGTCATGAGAGTTTGCCCATCCGGTCTACATGAGCTTTGTGGACTTGGTGAAAGTGTTAGGTCATGTTCTTTGAGGTGCTCTGTGGGGTGTGCACGTGAGTATAGGAATAGGGCTCTGCTAAGAGCCCCTCAGTCCCTGTACAAGCAGTGCTCAAGTTTGGTTCATCGTCAGCAGGTCAGGCCTCTTCAGGGTGAGAGTTGGATTCTGCCACGGCTGAACTGGTGCTCACACCAGTTACTGACTGGTCTTCTTTTGGTTTATAAACTGCAGAGTGGCCTTTGATTGTGGCCAGCCTAAGGCACATGTGTGAGGCGGACGGACGAGAAGTGCTCACTAACACAGATTTACACACATTAATATCTGATTAATATCTACCTGTTGTGCAAAACTCTGGAACTCTTAGATCTTTGAGTTCAGCTCATGAAAAACAAGTGTTTATTTAAGAGCTATTTTTTTTGTTCAATGTGTGTGTGTGTGTGTGTGTGTGTGTGTGTGTGTGTGTGTGTGTGT